AACCTACCTGGCTGCTTCTTGCTCCTTGTGGCCTGGGGCTGCTGGGAGCAGGGGGCGGGGCTTGTTGCATGTTCCCGCCTCCTGGGCTCTTTACTGCCGGAGCTCTGCTCCTGTGTGCTCCTGCAGGAAATGACCCCTGGTAATGAGCAAACAGGACTTCTGAGTTGTCTGTAGCACCCCAGTGCTCTGACTGATCCCTTTGCCTCCAGCTACACTCGAAACAATAATTCAGCCATAGTTTACCTGCAAGCTCAGGTTTCTCCCCTTCTAGTTTGTCTGCAATGGGATCTTCTAAGTACTGAGGATTTATCAAATGTTTATGACCAAACATCACTTTTAAAGAGACGCTCAGGAAAAAAAAATGCATGTGTGTCTTGAGACTGTGAAATCAGAAAACCTGGAATGGAATATGAAAGGAGCCCTCGGACAAACCAGGCAGGGCAGGCCCAGGAGTGAGCTCAGCAAGGACAAAAGTTTGCTCGCCAGAACACATAAAGTACAGTGAGGGGGGATAAAGGTAGAGACTTGACCTCGGACACGTACCCCCTCCCATTTTTGATATTTCCCTGTACTCTAAAGTTGTGCTGGATCCATGTGATCTTCGACGTGGTCTCTGTGCTTCACACCCATGGGATCTAGTGTGCACGCACTGGATCGATCGGCATTGTAGCAAGCTCTTAACGGATTTTCGCACCCAGACCTCGGGCATGCGCAGGAACCCCACTGCGCATGCCCAGAGGGGTGACCGCGGACATCCCGCCAGTTCCTTTCTTACCGCCGTGTTGGAAAGATCTTTTCCTCGTTGGTCTGATCAGTTCGCTTTTTTGGCTATTTGCCTCACGGCTCTTCGGATTTTTTCCTCAGTTTCTTTTTTCTTCTTAGTCTTCTTTGTTTGTTCTTTAAAAAATAAAAAAAATTGTTTTTTGCTGAGGGGAAAGTTGCCGGTTTGCCTCAGTTTGGCCTTCGGGCTCCCCCCCCCCCAAAAAAAACCCTTCTTTCTTCTCCGATTTTTAATTTTTATGGAGAAGTGGGGCTTTTTCAACTGCTGCAAGGGTTGCGGCAGTAAACTCGCTCCACCTGACCATTACACCCTCTGTATTTTTTGTTTGGGGAAGTCTCACCGACCTGAATCTTGTCGGCACTGTGCTAGGTTTTCGAACCAGACATGAAAAAACCAAGCTGCGCGCCTTAAAGTGGCGCTAGTTGAGTCAGCATTACATCCTCCCTCAGTGATGGAGTCCGAGAGACCATCGACATCGACGGCTCCGGCATCGAGCCCTCCTCCGACATCGGCCAATCGACATCGAAGCCACCGGCATCGAAGGTGCAGTCCTCCACTTCCACTCCGGTGAAGAAGAAGCCCAAGTCAAGTAAGGAGCACAAGTCCGCAAAAAATGGCTCCTCTAAGTCCCTAAAGGTGGCAAAGAAGGGAAAGGTAGCGGTGTCTTCACTGGGTGATGCCCCTAAAGTGCCTCCCACTCCAACCGCAGTATCGGCATTGGAGGTCCATGCCGCTCCGCCGATACCGACCATTCAGCTCCTGGACTCCCCTATACAACAGCTGGAGCGTCCTTACTCCGATATCGAGACGGTGGAGCTCCTTAGTCATCCCATGGATGCAGAGTCCTCTCCCTCTCCTTCCCCGTCATCGACATCGACGGTGTCAGAGGCTCCCGACATCGATTCACGTCAGAATCGACATACCTCTAGCAGCATGCAGCGTCACCCTCCACGTCTGCTTCTTGAACCTGTCAATATCGATGACCGAGTTTATAGGGACCGCTCTCAAAGGCAGGCTAATGCTTTGTCTCCAAGATGTACCCGATCTAGAAGTCAATCCCCCTGAGTCTTTCTACCCCCCCACCACCTCTGTCTTGGGACCAACACCAGCTAAGGTATCTCTATGGGGGCTATACACCATCCATACCATGGTTGACTCCAGCGGGCTATTCTGACTGTGATCGTTACTCAACCCACTCTGCCCACAGATCCACTCTGCCTACAGATCTAGACCTTCAGCACCTCTGTCTTGTCCTCCGGCCAACGATCCTTCCCACCATAATCCAGAACTCAGTCGTCCTCCCAACCCCCAAGTCATTCCACCAAAGATGTTAACCAGTCAAACGGAAGTCACTCCGGTGCAAATTCCAGATCACAACTCCTCTTTCGGCCTACCATGTTCAAAGTTGATGGGTGCACACTGTTTTCGCATCCGCTTTCGAAACATTTCTTGAAGGGACTGTTGCACCTATACCTTACCATCTAAACTCCTGTTGTTCCCTGGGACCTTCCTCTAGTTCTTCGTCAGCCCACATGGAAACCCTTTGAGCCACTCACAACTTTCGACCTAAAATTTCTGTCGTGGAAGACGGCCTTTCTGGTTGCTGTCACCCCTGCGAGGCGAGTTGGAGAAATACTGGCTTTCAGACATGACACCCCTTACTTGTCCTTTTTGCCAGACGGTGTCCACCTCGTACCTGACATCTCGTTCCTGCCAAAGGTAGTGTCAGAATTCCACCTACAGGCAGAGGTCTTCCTCCCGGATTTCTTCCCGGCTCCAACATCCTCAGAGGACAGACTGCTACACACCTTGGATGTGAAACATGCGCTCCTGTTCTACCTGAACAGAACCCGCCCAGCAAGACGTGATTCCCAACTGTTCGTCTCGTACGCACCAGCAAGTCTGAGGATGCACATCACGGCTCAGCGCCTCTCGAAGTGGATTGTGGGGCTCATCCGCCTCTGCTACCTGATTGCCAAACAACCATTGCCTGGCCCTATCAGGGCCCATTCAACCCGAGCTGTTGCAGCTTCCACTGCCTTCCTCCAGGGAGTGCCCCTGACGGACATTTGCAAAGCCGCTACGTGGGCTACGCCTAACACCTTCATAAGGCACTACGCCCTAGACGTCTGAAAGAACTCTAGTACTAACATGGGACGTCACATCTTGTCTTCAGCTACGCATTAAGGACCTGCCAGCACCCTCCTCTAGGTAGGCCACTGCTCGCTAATCTCCCATGGGTGTGAAGCACAGAGACCACATCGAAGATAAACAGGTTGCTTACCTGTAACTGATGATCTTTGAGTGGTCATCTGTGCATTCATACCACCCGCCCTCCTTCCCCGCTGCGGTCAGCTTCTACTTGTTCCATAGGGGGTGATTTGCGGCGGTTCGAAGGAACTGGCGGGATGTCCGTGCCCACCCCTCTGGGCATGCGTGGCGGGGCTCCTGTGCATGTCCGAGGTCTGGGCGTAAAAATCCGTTAAGAGCTTGCTACAATGCCGATCGATCCAGCGCGTGCGGACTAGATCCCATGGGTGTGAATGCACAGATGACCATGTCGAAGATCATCAGTTACAGGTAAGCAACCTGTTT